ATACATACATACATACATACATACATACATACATACATACATACATCCATCCATCCATCCATCCATCCATCCATCCATCCATCCATCGATACATCCATCCATACATACATACATACATGAATCAATGAATCAACCGATCAAAAACCAATCAGAAAATCACCAAATTAAATTAAACAATCGATCGATAATGGTCTAATGATTTCAGTGAATTTAGATTAACTTGATAGCCAATCAGTTGATCATCAATAGTTTGAAAAGAGTAACTCAGATGGAGATAATTTGTTTATTTGTTTCTCTGAGATTTTTGGTTTACACCTTTGACATTAACTCGTCGAAAAAGTTTTTTGGACAAACCTCCATTTTGTGTAGTGTACACCTTGTATCGTTCTTCAAAAGATGGGCAAATCTAACGCTTTTTGACTTGTTTTCATATATTTTTGAACACCACAGTGATAATGAATTCTGTATTTATCCTCGTCTAACAACGTCGACTAAAGTAGTCGCTTTCTGGTTTCAGCAGTGCATCTCACAATTGTGCAATCCATAGTATCAAAGAGATGTACGACCGACAAAGAGCAACTGAGGAGAATTATGCGATTCCGGGGAACGTTTCTATCCAATTACATTCCATGTGTTTCATATCTGATCAATAGACTTTATAATATTTGAAAAACCAACAGTGAAAACAGATGCATTGTACAGGCGAAAAGATCAACATGTCAGACTCGTGGAAGCATTGATAATCAGAAAAAAATAGTTACCAGACTGTGGGTGGGATTCGATAAACTCCGGTGGTCACCTGCCCTACCAGGTATTGTCTATCCATTGGGCAACAAGGCTGACGTCATTCATTGACCGAATTCCACTGACAGCATTGTCAACGGGAATGGTCTTTCCGGTCACCTGCCGAACTTATAACCTTATGTATTTAGTTGTTGCCCAGGTGGTTGAAGTATGAAGTCAGTAATTATGAGCAAACATACGTTTTTCGATTATTCCAATCTCGCTGAGTTACAATCAGCCTGATGTAAGAATATAACAAGTGGATAATGAGCTGAAGTTAAACAATTGAGATCATTTCGCATGCAGAGTACACCAGTTCCGTAGCTCAAATTTCTCTGGGCTAAGGTGCACCATATGTAAAACGACCACGGGGGTGATGTGGTGATGTTGCCACTGGTTATGCCAGAGGTTTGTGTCCCAACAACATAGAGTGAACTGATCCTCACTCGTTCTCACTTTTGTTGTAGTAAGAATTGGTGCCAATCGCTTAATTCTACCACCGTTTCACTATGGTTATCTCCTTGCACACATTTTTGCTGGAAATCAGTTCGTTATGCAACATTTGGCACACACCATTGAAAATCAACAGAAGCAGCTGTTTCATACAGTTTGAGGACGGACCATCAAGTCACCCATGGGTTAGCTCTACCTAATAGTTTCATGTCAACTTTCTATGGGAACTGTCACTGATCAGTGACTACTGTCATTGAGACAACGATTGCCCCTAGGGGCATGTCCCACTCTGAATAAACAGATGATATCTAACTACTGATAGTGCTACTTGCTGTAATTAAGCAGTATGCAAATTAGTAGCCGTGAAAAATATATAGCCGTACGATTGGCACTTTGCGATTTCGCTATGAAACACACCCTGTTCAGATTGAGGTTATCGAGAACATTGATTTGCACTCAAATATCTGAAATTTTCAAATTTTATTGTTTATTCTTCCACCTCTTTCACTAAAACTACCCGTTTTGTTGCATGTGACAGGGTGTGGAAATCAAATTCGATCGTCTGGACTTGGATGCGCGACGATACGAGGTGGCCCAATTGCTTCGACCCTACGGCCGTTACTTCGGTCAGCTGCGTATCATCTACATCCAGTTCGAGAATTCCGGCAACTACACATGTGCGGCTGAAACCCCGTTGAGCACCCTGGCCGCAAATGCTTTGATCCAAGTGGCCGGTCCACCTGGCCCGTGTGGAGGTGATTTCTGATTTCTTATCTGTGTACAAAATTCGCAGTTCCTCATCTGATTTCATCTAGAAGACCGATTGAATATTTCTTGAAACGGTCATCTAACAACGGATAGTGGACGGTAATCCCATCAGCTAGCTGTTTAATGATTAACGATTTTCTGTTCCGGATTCAGCGATTCGGATAATCAATAATTTTAGGGTAAACTCCCTGTAATATTCTTTTTCTTTCAAGGAGTACAGCAAAGCATCTCATTAGTTACTATCTTTTCGTTCCGGAAATCTACATCTCTGTTTCAATGCTACTGAAACATAATGAATATGAACAGATTTCATCCATAAATGTACCTGGTTCTGTCTAAGATAGTTCCTTACACATGCAGAAGACTGCATCCTGCCTTGATTCGGAGGTACGTGCATCTCTCTGACCCAGAAAGCTACACAGGATCGCGTCTTAGTAAGCCGACGATCTACTCATGTTGGAAAGATTACACAGCAGAGATGAGAAAAACTCAGTCTCCTGGTCCTTCAGGTTAGAGGCTGAACCTGAGTCGGTATCTCACTCGACCAAATGATGGAGGAATAACCAGGCCAAGTAAATGGGTTTTCATTTTGCCTTACCCGCTAACCTACGACTAGGGCTTTGTAAAGAAGCTTGACTGAGAACCGCAATTGTTTTCCTGCGTGGCGTTTGGCCTCCCTCGAGAAGTAGCTGTCTGTTGAACTCAAATGGGGTGCTTGTAACAGATTGTGAAATCCGGCTGACTGATTACATAACGTGGGATGTGAATGGGTGCTTCCGAATCGACAAAGCGCACTAGACAACCATGTTTTTCCCTCGTCGGACTCGTCACAGATGCGCATCGTTTAGGAACCCTTCCTGGTCTCGTGAATTTCGAACATTAAGGTTTACTCAGGCAACTGTAGGAAAAATGCCTATCCCACCGTATTGGTTGTTTGATATCAAAACGGTGCTTTCTCATTTACGTGTGAAGCACGTTTTCCGCTCTCGAATGACAGCAATTTTCATAGCGCAGTAAACCTGTATAGAAAAGACCGTGTTTCGGCTTACATATCATACCTTTTGAAATCAAAACCGAACCTGTAAGCAAAATGTGTGCTCGCTTAAAAATTCCACTGATTCTTCATACCAGTTTATCCATAGGGTAAACCGGGTAGATTTTCGTACTGTCGAACTGTTGGTTCCATAGAAAAGGTACATTTGAAACGGCTGATGCTACTGAGGCTATGTTTAACCCCCAAAAAATTGTTTCGCTGATTCAATAACTTCTCAAACTTCATGAATTCTAATCAAAAATGTTTGTGAACTAGGAAGTCGGCTCAATAGATTAAGAGAGTTAGGTGAATCTGCCCCAAATTCGATCGGCTCAGATCAAATTAGGTGACACATGAGTGGGCTGCATATCGATATTCGAATCGGGTCGGTCTTCAAAACGTGAGAAATCAACTTTTTCACGGGAGAATGCGTGTGCAGACAGTGTTGAAACAACAGCATAGTTTTACACCAATCCGTTGGAATAACATGCCAATTGATCATGATGGACTATGAGGTGCAATATAATTAGTAAATTTTTCTGAAAAGTCCATCAACTTACAGAGAAGTCTGAAGTTTACCAAATGCTAGGTAGGTTTCCACAGCAGTCAGGTGATTGATATTTCCGTCATTAACTACCGATTGTTTTGTGAAAGATCATGTTTACGCTCGCGAGTGATCCTGATTTCTCTGCATACCGAACACCGGGTCTTGACTGTGAACGATAAGTACCTTGGTGTAACCGTAGTGTCACATAAAATTATCACTCGTTTTTTTCTTGGACCTGCAGATTAGTTTGCTCACTAACTCAGCTACCGGTTGACACGTGTTCGATCTCAGGGCTCTGAACCGGACCGCACAAAACCACGTCTCACACTCTGATCTGGAGATTCGTGGGTGGGGATTCATGAATTAATGCACCATCATCTCCAATTCATGTCACTTGCGACCACAGAACGAATGATTACCCCACAACTAAACCTACCAAATTCCAAAAGGATTTGTCTAGGTCTGTAAATAAACCGTAGAAACAATCATTTAGTTTCTTTCCTCTGTAATTTGATATTGAACTGTTTATTTACTCAAAGCAGAAATTTTGTTTCAGACTAATGTGCTCAGTGCGGAGTTAGATATTATTACTTATTCCAACCATTGCATACTGAGTCGTAATCAGCTGCGTCATTGTTAGCATAAAAAATCGTTTACCCCCATCGTACGAGAAAGAAAACCCTAACCAAATATTTCCTTGTGGGAATTCACACAAATTATTTGCCAGAGAGAATAAAGTACATTCCGCTAAAATCTGTTCTTTTCGACAAATCATTGATTCCGTCTAAACTAGCCTAACTTACCAAACAGTGCAAACAGCTTCTCCCACAAAGTTGGCTAATGATTTCTGGGCACAGAATGGCTGTTATCAGTTTACGCAAAGGCCAGTCTCGAAATCATAAACTGGACGGAACTAATGGGCCGTTCGGGGTTACTCCTCCGAGCATATGTTGGAGTAGTTTGGAAGCTAGAATCAGGGGATCCGAGGTGGCTGATTTTCTCACACAATTCCAAATGTTTTCTACGAATACCAATTTCTCCTTGCTTCTTTGATCGGTTTTAAGGTGTGATTGTCGACCCGCAAGTGGGCGTGAACCAGGTCAATGTCACATGGACAGTGGGAAATTCACATCTGTTCTCAATTGTCGGATTTACTATTGAGGCCAATGCCATGTTGGATCCCCGTGGCAAGTGGACGGTGGTTGTGTCCAATCTGAATATCAATGAAACTCAAGTGCTTCAACCGTCTGGTACGTGTTTTTCCCCCCAGTCAATTGCATCTCACATAGATGTTCACCAATTTTTGATTTTCTCAGTCTGCGAGTTAGCTCAGTTTAAATCGATTGGAATAATGTCTCTGTTTGTCTGTGTGTCAGTCAGTTCAGTCGAGATCTCGTCAGAAAATTACCAAAATTTCTTTTATTTCTTCGTGTCTTATCCTTTATCTTGTTACGTTCTGTGTCATAGTCTGAATGGTGGTTACCTATCTTTACTATCACTGCTGGATATTTGACTTTAAGTTACAAAGTACAATCCAAAGTCATGGAAATAACTATGCAGTACACAACAACAAACCCGCTTCGACAACTGTCTCCGTGGAGCGCAACACATCTATCTCAGTTGCAAACAATATGTGGTTTGTTTACACCAGGTGTGAGAACATTGCGTTGCTGATCGAATTATTGTTCAAGTTAGGTTCATTGGTAGACTGAACTGTTATGTTACAATTGTGAAAAGTTCAACAGCCTCGGTAGTATTCGAACTTGTTTGTTCCCGCGTTTATTTACGCGGTGTTGATCAAAGATCAGTTTGGACAAGTTGCCCTCTAATTGTAATTCATTTCCTTTGCTCTACGGGGAGCGGGTAAGCCGGTTTCATAGATATCTCGAATGGCAACGGTCCACGCTCCGCAATCGGCGGAAATAGCCGCACAGATTGTGATGCAGTCTGCCTTTCATTGGCGGTTACTTTATACAGAGCGGAGACTATGGTGTTCAACATCCTTGCGTACAGTGTCTTACCAGAGTTTCAAATGTCCACCGCGTAAACAGCACCAGTTTTGACAGGGAAGAGGTGTCAAGGTAGCTTTGGCCAGATTGCTGAATAATTTACGCAGTACGTGTCCACGCCATAGCAGTCGTCGCCGCTGTATGAGCGTGTGTTTGAGATTAGAACGCCAGGTTCTAACTGCCTAACTCGGGATCTGACCTCCCAATTTAACTACCGGAATGGTTATAAGCACCAGTGATCAGACTTCTAATTGGCGACAGCCTTAGTGGTCAAGTTTCACAAGTGTACATCAGGGACAAGATGAACTGCTGTGGAGAAAACTCGTATTTCTGCCTTGAAGCTGGTTTCGCTTCTATGCCATAGGAGAATCTTGTACTGTAAAAAGGCGTTTCCGATGACATCGACGTACAGTTTTATCTCATTTTTCGCTTGGCCGTTGGACAATATGGTCAAGCCCGGGTAGTTAAAGCGTTCAGTGGATTCAGTTGGCTTGTCGTTTGGTTGTAAAGCATCTTCAGGATGAATTGAGAGGGTAGTAATCAATTTGATTCTGCATGTGTTCTCCTCTATGCGGAACTAGGAGCCCTGTGAACTAAGACGGTCAACGATTTCTTAGAAGGTTGCTTCTATCCTCACCTATGACAACAACATCCTCGGTGAATTCCAAATCACCGAGCCAGAAGTTAGGAGAAATCTGAACTCCCTGGTTTCCTTCTATGAAACTAACCGTTATGCGGTCGACGGTTAAATTAAACAGCATTGGAGACAACGGGCACCCTGACCAACTTCAGATCGTAACTCGAATGTAGGGGCTCCGTAGTGTAGATGCAGATTCTAGCTGAAGCATTGGAGTAGTAGGATCTCATGAGGTGAACAAGTTTAAATCACAGTATTGTGTTGCAGAGGGATTCGTGATCTACGGAATTGAATGCCACTTGAAAATCTATCGCACAGATTGCTGTTGGTTGTTGAAAATTGTGGCCATTTTCTAAGAAGCGATGTAAGATGAAAGTTCATTCACGTAACGCACACACTTCGAGGTGCTCTTGTGTCCTGTTTCTGTAAAACACTTCAGTTGTGCAAAAACTTTGGGTGCCACGTCGAGTAAACTGGTGTTTCTGTAGTTTTTGTGCAATGAGTTATCTCCCATTTTGGGGGAAGATAGTAAGAGAAACGTGGTTCAGTCTGTTGGGCAAGTATTAGTTTCCCAAATTGCATTTAGTACGCAATGTAGTTGGTTTAAAATGGCCGGAGAACAGTCTACATAGATTTTCGCGGGTATTCCATCCTCGGCGTGAGAGTTTCGTGGATTGAAATGGTTGTTGATATCTTAGATATATCCTTCTAATGGTGGGGCACAGCTAGCATCGTATGAAGATGATGTCGAGGAAGACGCGTTCGGTGGTTGGATTAGAGGGTAACTGAGAAGAAGACTAATAGGTTTCACCGGCATAGAAAATTTTCCTTCCGCATAGAGAATGCGCAGAACAGAATGCTGCGCAACACGAACTGGATTACTTGTTCCTTACCCGATACTAGTCGTATAAATCGGAAGAGGGTCCCTGTGCTCCCCAGGTTTGCTGCTGTCTCCATTTCCCTCCAGTGGTTGCAGTTATCGTTTCCAGTAGATCGTGTAGATTGCCGTCTCAGATCATCATAAGCAGAGGACTAAGCTAGGGGTGCCTCTAGGTCCGCATTAGCTATCTGGATGGTTTGGTCGGATATTCAGTGCCAGGTTCGTGCAGAACAGCTACTTCTTCCTGATTCAATGAGTTGCAACCGAGCCCTCTGTGCTTCATTGCGTACTGCGAGGATCGTTCGAAAATTGTGCAGTTGTCGTGCCCATCAGTGCGTGGCATTTGTATTTCTTCCCCCATAGAACCATCTTTAAGGGTTTTCAGGGGACGATCTGTTTACGAATGGAATCAAAAATTCGCTAGAGCTATCACTTGATCAGATCCGCATTGATTTGTTTACGCATTCAGTAACGTGATATTATCAACCGAAGAAGCCAATCGTGAATGGATGAGGAGGTAACCTAATTAGTGTACTGTTCGTCTGTCGTTGGAGTACCATGCCAGAAGACGCCGGATATGGAAGCCGTGGTGATATGCAGTCGATTATAATCGGTCAAACTAAGTAGTCTGTCCTCATTTTTGCAACGCTATACCAAGTCAAACCTCACTTCAGTGTGCCTTGTGGCCTCTTCTTGTAAGCCAGTTGGAGCGTTCCACACTCTTCCACCATGGCAGGTAAATCCCTTTTGGGTACTCTATTAACAAGCGATTGAGGGATATCATCAAACTTATCATTGATATTAGTGTCAGACAGGGGAATCGAGGCGTTGACTGCGCTTACTGTATCGCGCTACTGATATACTAGAAGATACTGGATTCTAAAATAGCAAAGTATTTCTAACTTGATGTATGCGACACTCCTTATTGTTCAGACATTTCATTGCCTTTTTGATGCTACTAGTATTGACGATCAATATCAGGGATTTTGATACTTTTGGAGCCGAATCCCAATAGCCTAACTTCGGAGAGGTTCAGCTGATATTCATGCAGCATGACTCCTAGCATCTAAAAGTGTTCTAGCGTTCCAGCATCCCATGCTAGTTGTTTTTCGAAGTTTAAGGTGTGCGCAGCATTGTCATCCGAATCACTGAAGGAGCAGAGTGTGTTGCTTCCCAGGAACAATGCAATATGATACGCGAGACTTGTCGATTGACTATCCACGAAATGTCTGTCTGCGTAGTTTGGCAGAGGAATCGTCACCAGCGTATATTAATTTATGACTAGAATGTGCTCAGATGATTTCAACCATTCAACCTGCACACACCTCTGCATTGAAATACCTGAACGCTAAAGTGTAATCATTTCTATAAGAGAAATGGAGGATTTGGTTTGATTAGATGATGAATTCGTCGTGTCACTGAGGCGTGAGCTGAAAACCTAGGGAGCGCCAAACAGCTGTTTCGACCTGGTTGGGTCTTTTCAGCAGTCTGAATCCATCGACCAAACTGGGGATCGAACCCGGGACATCACAGATAGAGCGCATGCATACTACCAACTCAGCCACCCCGGGACAGCTGATCAGACCACATTCTCATTCGGAATATCCACGATAAAGCACAACCCATCTTTTCGCGCTTGTTGCGGGCAACGGACCTTGCTCATCACAGCACCAGCCTCCAGAGTTATGACTCAGTTGGAGACTTTTAGAGTAATATATCAAGATAAACAAGGGGCCTGTATCATTTTCCCAATAGTGAAGGACACTACCCCCGTAGTCATGTGAGGTAACCCCGAAGAATTGATAAACGTCTACCGCTGCAAGCACTGTACGCTTTGCCTTTTCTAACCGTACACACATAGCATACTCAATCACTTCTCTTACAGGAAGACGAATGACTTTTGTGAGCAATTTGGCTGCCAATATGGCATACCGGCTCAGAATCCGCGCGATCAATGTAGTCGGTCCCGGAGAGCCCAGTCTGCCCAGTCGGTCGTTTACCACCTTACCAACTGCTCCCACAAAAATGCCTCTCAATGTGACCGGGGGTGGAGGAAAGCATGGAACTCTGGTATTCCAGTGGGTTCCACTGTCTCGGGTGGATGAGANACCGGATTTTCGATACCGGGCACATATAAGAGCCAAGGGTGATAGTGAATACGGAACATACGACTTGTGGACTGCAAAACCGATCGAGGACGGAGCGTTTCTCCAGTATACGCACCTTATTGGGGATAATTTGTACTATAAACCGTATGAGGTTCGTTTGGAAGCAGTCAATAGTATGGTAAGTCAATTTTGTATCGATGACTTGGTGAGTACAGGCCAACTATTTTCCTAACATGAATTTTGCCGGAATGAAGTGCTATGCACTTAAACCCAGTTTTGAGGGATGGNGTTTGAAAAACATCCAGCGTAGCATGCAGAATCACGCAGCTTGTCAGAACAGTAATTTGTCACGAATCCTGAAATAAGTGAGTGACCAATAATGCACAAGGCAGAAGTACTAGAAAACAGGAAAGTATGGTAGTGATTTGTCATGGTAACAATTTTATCTAGGCGATTCATCTTGTCTGAGAACACCAATGGAGCTGGATGATGAATTCATTTGGTAAGTGAAGAATTGTGCAGCTGACACAAGTGAACATAAGCCAATGTTATCAAAACCGTTCATATCTGATCGACAGAATTGGAGTACGGCAAGTCATATCATGTCACACCCAGAGGGATGGATAGTCAGCAATTACATAACAAGTGTGTCAGCAATTGATAATTAATTAATTCATTAGCATCACAAAACCAATGGCATGCCGTGGTGTTTATCATTGATTTAGATTAGCATTGCGTGTCGCATTTTGGGTTGGTCAGTCACAGGGAACGAACGTGTATGGATAGAAAGATGACTAAGAACAAAGTGGAAACGCGAACAGTTTACTTTTCGATATACCACTTTAGGCATTCAGTTTCACTTTCAATTTGTGCAACCATTAACCACGCATATTCGTGGGCCGGTTTTCGTTGCTGTCTTTTGGCTGCCCATTTGGATGAAGAATAGGAGAAGCAAGGAAAGTTAAAAATGGAGTTGAACAGAAAATGGAAAAGTTCAGTGGTCTAAGGTTGCAAAGAAATTGAGGAGATGCACGAACGCCACTGTTTACGACACCCAGCCATATCACTCAGGGTCTCTAACCATCGGTTACGATCATCTCGAGGTCCCCAGTCAGGGAGCCTAACAGGACCTATGTGACCCAGTCTCCTGGTTAAGGTTTTCATATCCTCGTGCCAGATCTTAGCTTGACCACCCTTGGCTTTTTTCCCCTCGATGTCT